AGAGAGCGAACGTGACAAATAAACGAATCACCCCTCTCCCCTTGCGCCGGCCGCAAGCCAGAGGAAACGTAAAAAGACGCACGCAGGCTGAAAGGGCAATGGTGGACAATGTGGTTGCCAAAGTTTCTTTCTCGCGACGCACCCCGGGTGACACAGCCACATCGCGAATCAAACTGAGCGCCTACACGCTCCAAGTCAGCTGCTTCACCGGTGAAAGTCGCTCTTCTAGTCTGCTTCGGAAATGCGCCGCGGGGGAGGCGCTCTGAACTGGGCGACGGCAGGAAGGCGGCAGGGACTAAAGAGCTGGCCTGCCTCTGGAGAGGCAGGTCCGAATAAAAAGAAGCAAGCATGGTAGGCTTTCAGTTGACCCAAAAGGGGGTTCAGCTGAAAGGGGGTGGTGCACTAGGTTTGGTGCAATTGCGGTGCAAATTCACTGCGCAACAGACTTGTATTGCACTGTATTGCAACAGTGTGTTGCGCGCGAAAAAACAGCAAAACACCTGCGCCCCGGAGCGTATTGCACGCCCCAACTCTACTGCAACCCCACAAATCTGCACCCCGTTTTGGCGGAAGTTACGCGGAAGCGTGGGGAAAGCGTATCCCGGAGCTTTTTTCCTCCAGCGCAGCTCGAACAAAAGGGCCTGCGGGCATGTCGTGGATTGACGGCGTCCGAAACGCGCAAGATCCCGAGCGCGCCGCCTGGCCGAGCGGGGAGCGGTTGGTGGGCCCGCTCCTCCTCGGGCACCCCTCGGGGTCACCGCTCCCTCCAGGGTTTCAGAAAGGAGAATTCAAACCCGCAGCGCCTCGGCGCAAAGTCACGGAGGTCAATGAACGCGCCTGAAGTGCAACTAAACAGTACACAGCTCAAGGCCGTACTCGGACCACGCCCCTTGCTCTCGCGGCCCCAAAGGCTGGAAACGGAGGCTGGTCGTCCACCAGGTGTACTTGACCTGGCTCTGGGTGGCAAACGACCTTCTGCGGTCGCCCTTCTTAGACTTGATCTTTACTGCTGGCTCACCCACCTCCTCGATCGGAGCATGATGTGGCCTCCCGCCGTCGCCCTTGCGCGGCAGGGCGCCCGCGCGGCACCAGCTCGGCACAAGGGCAGAACCAGCAAATCAAAGTAAACGCGAGCACAGCGAGCAGGAGCCCTAGGCTCGCGCCCGCCACCACGACGGTCAGGCTCACGTAGTAGCCCTCAGTCGCGACTCCTAGCATGGTCACTGGAGTCAGCGCACTCTCGTTCATTTCCCGCGGTGCCTCGCACAGCTCGGTCGAGCTCCCCTGCGCCGCCGTGGGGAGCGACGCGGCCGCTGCAAGCAACGCCTCCAGAAGGTTCGACCGGGCCTGGAGGTCGGTCGGCATGGCCCCGACCGCAGCAACCCTCGAGGCCCCTGGCACGGGCGCCTCCTTCAGCCCGCAAATCTCACGGAGCCACTCGATTGTTGTGGTTGTTGGCGACGCGGTGCCTTTGCCGTGGGCGCCCTCGGCCAGAGGCCGAGAAAGTAGTTAGAGGCGTTGAAAGAGCCGGCCCGTCGACGTCGCCTTAAGCCGCATCCGGCCGGAGGCAGAAGAAGCGGCGAAGGACCGCAGCCAAAAAGAGTCGCCAACTCAGCCTAGCCAGCTCGCTTCCGAGTCCGGCGGGGAGAGGGAGGGGAGGAGGTGGGGCGAGGCCGGCGCCGACACCTCTCCGGTAAGGACTCCACCCTCCGCCGGGAGCGGCGGCCGGGCGTCGGGGGAGCGGGGGAGAGCTCCCGCGGTCGGCTCTGCAGCGTGCAAAGCGCCGCACCACGCACCGCCAAACCGCCGACCGGGGGAGGGGGCGGGGGGGGATCGTCATCGGAGTCACGGGACGGTCGTCCAGATGGCCGTCTGGAGCCTCGCCGTCGCCCCCCACCGTCGCGCCCACCTGAGCCGGGCCAGGAGGGGGGCGAGGAGGGGGAGGTGGCGCCCGTCGCCGCTTCGACGGCGGAGCGCTGCCTAGGCCGGCAGCCGTCGGTCGCCTAGCCGCCCGTCCGCGCGGGGCCGGAGCAGTCACGAAGTCCCCGGTAGACGCCTCTACCTGAGCTGGTTCAGGAGGAAGAGGGGGAGGCGGAAGAGGAGCGGGCCGCCGCTCCGAGGGCGGAGCGTTGCCTGGGCCAGCAGCAGCCGAACGCCGCGCCGCCGGCCCTGCAGGGGCCGGAGCCGAGCCAGAGTCCCGAGGCAGAGCCTCCAGGATGCGGATCCCGAGCTTGCACGACGCGACCTGAAGCCGGGACCTGTCCTGAATAGTGGGGCCGGCGATCGCGGTGATCCATCCCGTCTTGGCCGCGACCCTGGGCTGGGCAGCCCACCAGGCCTCATCGACCCCATAAGTTCGCCCGAGGGCGACGCGATCGGGCCGAAAGCGGGGGCGCTCGGACCAGAAGTGCCAGGCGGGCGCGGCGGGGCGCTCGCAGAACGGGCAGGGGGCCTCAGCGTGGGCCCGTCGAGTAGGGGTCCGAGCGGCGCCGCCGCGCCAGACCGACAGCAGACTAAGCTCGTCCTTAGGAAGGCCCTCGCGCCACTGGCTCCACGGGGCCTTAGAGGACGCCTCGATGTCGACGTCCGCCATGCCCCCAACAACGCGGCGGGGCCTCTGGGGGCGCACCTGCAGAGGCTGGGCACGGGCGCAGACCCGGAGGACGCGCTGCCCGCTGGGCGACGAGGCGTCGAAGTAGGGCGGGGGGCCAGAGGAGGCCACGGCCCCAGCCACGGCGGCCGCCGCCCGGGGGTCGAGAGCGGGCCCGGCGTGGACCCAGACGGGCAGCAGCCCAGGCGACTCGGGGCGGGACGCCAGCCCGACAGTGGCCGCGTGGTGGGCCACGCACTCCTGAACTGTCGGATGCTGCGCTCCGAACGCCTGGCCGCAGAGGTGCTCGTCGCTGCCGCTGTCTGCGAGGATGAGCCCTCTGCGCACCTCCCTGCGGCAGCCGCCGACCGAGCTCCTGGCCCCAAAGACCCGGCCGACCTCGTCGCCGTCGGAGCCCGCGGCCACCGCGCCCGCGGTCCTCTGGCCCTCAGCGCCCGCAGGGGCCTGCTGGACTGCGGCCGCCTTCGGGGGCGCTGCCGTCGGCGCCCGAGGCTTCCCAGCCGCCTTGTGCCAGCAGCCCTTCTCCTTGTGCCCCTGCTTCTGGCACCAGTTGCAGCTTCCCTCGAACTTGGCGGGGGTGCTGCCCTCGAGCTTGTCAATATTGACTCCTTTCTTGCTGCGTTTGCCGCCCCTGTCGCCTTTGTCGCCCGTCTTGTCGCCCTCGCCGCCGCCCCACATGTCGCCCTTGCGCTTTGGCCAAGATTGTCGTGGCAGGGCATGGCCCGAGATCGCGCCGATCTCCATCGGCGCCGTGCCTTGGCCCACCGCGCCGCTAGCTGCGAAGATCTGTCCAGACGCCATCCACTCTCTCAGGTGGGTCCTCAGGGCCAGGTGCGAGACCTCGGCGGCCGTCGGAGCGTTGCGCAGCACGGTCTTGCACGGCTCGGGGCTATGGACGAGCAGCGTGGCGATGCGAAGCTCATCGCCGAAGTCTTGCCCAGCCGCATGACATGCCACGCCACGTCGTTGTCCTAGTCAACGAGCTGGTCGGCGAACGGCTTCTGGTCGTCCCACCTGGGGTTGAACTGGCCGCTGAGCATGGCTGCGAACCTGTTGCCCAACCCAGGCTCGTACTCAATCTTGATCGCTCGCCAGGCAACGAAACCTTCATGCATACCAGCGAGCGTGACCATCGCCAGGGACTTGCGCTGGGTCTTGGTGATCAGTATGGCATGCAGCAGCTTGCTCGTCGCTGCCGCCCGCTCGCCCATGCTGACGTTGTCCACTGCGAGCGCTGGCTGAGCCTCAACATTGTCGCTGAGGTCATCCCAGCGCATCAGCGCGAAGAACCCATGTGCTTTGCTGGACCAGCTGGGCCAATCCTCATCTCTGCCACTGAACTCTGGCAACTTGATGTCGCCTCTGTAATCCACCAGCTGCTCTCAGGGCGCCGCTGCCATGGGCAGCGCACGTCCTCAATCTTCCCGTGGATCTGATCTGCGTAGTTCGCCACAGAACCACGCTCTCCGCTACCATGGCGAAAGTTACGCGGAAGCGTGGGGAAAGCGTGTCTCGGAGCTCTTTTCCTCCAGCGCAGCTCGAACACAAGGGCCTGCGGGCATGTCATGAATTGGCGGCGTCCGAAACACACAAGATCCCGAACACCTTTTGGGTCAATCAGAAGGTTATGGATTCGACCATGGATCCCTTGTTGCCCATCGGCCCTGGTCCGTCTTCGGCCTCCTCGGACGGTCTTCGGTGGTCTTCGGGAGATTGTCTGTTGCAGTGTTTCGGGTAGCGATCGTTACCCAGAGGGGGGGGGGCCCTGGGTAACACTGACGCTTGAGTGGGGTGCGCTGCGACCGCCACACTATGCGCACGAACATCAACATGTGACTAGGCCCCCCCTCCGTACGATCTTTACGTTACCCGGAGTGAGGAGGGCGGGGAGGGGCTGTGGCCAAGGTAACGATTCTTACGTGCCAGAGGCTTATACCAAACACTATCTCGACAAAGGGTTCATGATCGTGCTCGCCTCTTGTAGGCAGAGCGCGCTTCTGGCCAATTTAGGGGCCCTGGGGCCCTACTACTAACCGGGTCCCCTTACCTGGGGTCCTGGCTATACCCGACTGGCGGCACAGATGGCGTGTCTTTCTCTGATCTTCTCCTCCTCAATCCCCCTCCTCGGCATGGCCCGCTCGGACACTGCACAGGGTTTTGGGGGAGGGTCCCCTTTTTCACTGACCATCGGGCAGATACCACCGCGCAGTGCACAATTGCTGGCTTCGTCTCTAATTGCTCATCCCATCCCTGTGTAGCCTGGAGCTCCGGGGCCCTACTGCTAGCCGGGTCCTCTCACCTGTGGGGCCCCTGCCTATACCCGAGTAAGGAGCAGGCAGAGCGCGCCGGAGGCCGCCGCGCCCCCCCCCCCCCCCCCCTGGCGAGCGGCCTCGGAGGTCGCCCCGGAGAGGAAGCCCTTGAAGCCCTTGCCGTCCGAGCTCTTGCCCTAGAACGGGAGGGCGGCGGGGGAGAGGGCGGCGGGGACGGGAGAGGAGGAGGAGGAGGAGGAGGAGGAGGAGGAGGAGGAGGTGGAGGAAGAGGAGGAGGAGAGCGAGGACGCCGAGCTGAGGGCGAGAACGTCCACGACGACGAGGAGCAGCACGCCGAGCGGCAGGGAGAACGCGGGGGGTTGGAAAGCTACCGTTGGGGCGTTGACCTAGGGAACCCGCTAATTAGGAACGAGAAACCAGAGGCGAAGTGCATAACAAATGAGGAGCGCTGAGCACCTCCCAAACGAGAAGGCTCCTTCTTCAGCGCCCCGACTGTAGGCTTAGGTCGGGCGTGTCCCCCTACAGGCGGTTTATGGACGATTCTTTTTTCAATACCCTAAAAATGTTACCAAAAAGGCGAAGCATGGTCATCAAATATTCCCCAGAATATGTTTCACTATTTTTGAATATTCCCTCTGTAGAGGGACAGGCCCGACTTAACTGTAGGCCCTCGCGCGCCACGTCTGTCATCCTGCCCCTCCCACCCCTCCCTTCCCATTACGCTGCGGTTTCCTCCATCCGCGGACGCATGTCGTGGCGGGCCTGAACCTCCAGAAACGGCTCCACGGTATCATGCGCAATGGGCATAGGGTACATGCAAGGAGAAGGAGGGGGGGCAGGAGTGGTGAGGCTTCGGGCTGTAAGCAGACAGCCTCCCCCGGCATGTCTCGCTCGCCCGAACATGCCCCCCCGATCAGTCCCAGTCCCAGCTGGCCTCAGCAGGCCCCCCGAATAGTCCCAGATGGCCTCAACTGGCTCCCCTCGGGCGCTCCGCGCCAATGAGTTGAGGCGTTGAGACCGCCCCAGACTATTCGGGGGGCCTGGTGAGGAAAGCGGGGACGACGGTGAAGGCATTGGATCAAGAACCAGTGGACTAATTTCACAGAGTATGGAAGCCGGCGGAGTACCAATCGCGGAGTGGCCATGCCGCCCTCATTCGGATCCGAAGCCTCCAGTGCACAGTCCTATGCCGAACGCCCCCCACCGCCAGGCTTCGGGCTGTGCGCAGACGGCCCCCCCCAAGGAAGTCTGGGCTCTCCTCCAGAGGCCCCCGAGTAGTCCCAGCTGGCCTCTGCAGGCCCCCCGAGCAGCCCGGGGCGGTCTCCACACCCCGCCGCCTCCGGCGGCGCCACTGGGGCGCTCTGCGCCGCAGGGTTGGGGCGTTGAACAGCCCCAGACTGCTCGGGGGGCCTGCCGGGGCCAGCTGGGACTGCTCGGGGGGGCCCGTGGAGGCCAGCCCGGACTACCTGGGGCGGCTGTCTGTGCGCAGCGCGAAGCCTTACCACTGTAGGCCCTCCTCCTCCTCGTCCTCCTCGTCCTCCTCGTCCTCCTCGTCGTCCTCCTCCTCCTCCTCCTCCTCCTCCTCCTCCTCCTCATCCCCCTCCTCCTCCGCCTCCTCCCCCTCCCTTGTTGTTCTCGTCGTCGTCGTCGTCGTCCTCCTCCACCTGGGGGAGCTTTCTGTGCACAACCCGAAGCCTTACCGGGCGGGGGAAGAGCGGCACGGCGAAAGATGGGCGGCGCGGCTGATTGAGAAAACGAAGGCCCAACAACACAGGTGGGCTTTGGAGAACCCCGATCCTCCTTCCTCCCCCCTTCGTTGGTGCAAGAACAGCACACGCTCAAACCTACAGGGAGGATGGAGAATGAGGAAGTGTCTGCTACAGAAAGGATGTCAAGCGGCTACACGTATGGGGGCGGGCTGTAGGACCCCGAAGGACCCCCCGCTCGAGCCGGAACCCGATCCAACAATACACACCCGTAACCCCTGACGGACTTCCACCCCGATCGGGCTTCTACTGACCCGTGTCCATGCAAATCCGGGTCAGTCAGGCGTTGCAAGATCCTGCAAAACCTGAAGGATCCTGCGCGCCGACCCGGGTCAATGCAACCCTGGCTTTCCAGGATCCTGCAAGATCCGCCGCTCTGGCTGACCCCCGCCTGCATTGGCGCCCGTGGCGAACAGCTCCACCCGAGAAGTCCAGGGGTCGCATCGGCATGGGTGCCAGTGCCGAAACCAGAGGCGGAAGAGGAGGCGGGGAGGAGGAGGCGGAAAAGAGAAATGAGAAGAACAACAAAAAAGGAGGCGGAGGATGAGGAGGAGGAGGAGGAGGAGGAGGAGGAGGAGGAGGCGGGGGAAGGAGGAGGAGGGGAGGAGGATGCGGGGGAGGAGGGGGAGGAGCAGGAGGAGGAGGGGATGATGATGAGGAGGAGGAGGAGGAGGAGGAGAAGGAGGAGGAGGAACAGGAGGAGGAGACAGGGAGGAGGAGGAGGAGGAGGAGGAGGAGGAGGAGGAGGAGGAGGAGAGGAGGAGGATGGGGAGGAGGAGGAGGAGGAGGAGGAGGAGGAGGAGGAGGAGGAGAGGAGGAGGAGGAGGGAGGAGGAGGAGGAGCAGGAGGAGGTTGAGGAGGAGGAGGATGGGGAGGAGGAGGAGGAGGAGGAGGAGGAGGAGGAGGAGGAGGAGGGAGGAGGAGCAGGAGGAGGAGGAGGAGGAGGAGGAGGGGGAGGAGGAGGAGGAGGAGGGGCGGAGGAGGAGGAGGAGGAGGAAAAGGAGGAGGAGGAGGAGGAGGAGGAGGAGGGAGGAGGAGGAGGGGAGGAGGGGGAGAGGGCGGAGAAAAAGGAGGAGGAGGAGGAAGAGGAGGAACAGCAGGATGAGAGCGGGGAGGAGGAGGCGGAGGAGAATGAGGGGGATGAGAGGAGGAGGAGGAGGAGGAGGAGGAGGAGGAGGAGGAGGAGGAGGAGGAGAAGGAGAAGGCGGAAGAGGCGGGCGAGGAGGAGGAGGAGAAGGGCGAGGAGGAGGAGGAGGAGGAGGAGGAGGGAGAGAAGGAGGAGGAGGAGGCGGAGGAGGAGGAGGAAAAGGAGGAGGAGGCGGAGGAGAAGGAGAAGGAGGACTATTTCCTGGGCTATCTCCTGCTGCGCTAGGGGCCTTACGTGTAAAGGGCCCTGACGGTGGTGCACGCTGGCTATACACGGCCTGTCCGAACTTTAGGGCGTGCGGCACTAGAGGGGTGGGGCCTGTAGTTTGGCGACGTCCGTCCCACAACCTTGGCAGCCTCCCTCCGAAAGTCCTTTGGCACCCAAGCTTGCAACGCTTCTTGAGGGCCAGCCAACGCGCGGTAGCGTAGAAGGCGCAGCGTTTACAGAACACGTGAGAGGCACAGATCACATGATGGCCCATGCTCCTTGCCTGATTATGAGGGGTCCCGCGGGTCACCATCCACTTCTTCGACCAGGAGAGGGAGGCTCCGAGGAGGAGGAGGAGGAGGGGGATGTGGTGGTGGTGGGACCTCGTCAGGCGGACCTTCGGGCTCCGGGTGTGTCTGACCGGTTTCCCTAGACGTGTCCTGAATTTCATGGGACTGCCCCCCGACACGAGCCGCGATTTCGAGAATGTCACTGGCTAGCTTGAACTGAATAATTTAAGCCTTCCTCTGCCAGTCAGCGTGCTGCAATATCTGAACTCCGAGTTTGATGTGCTTACCCGCCGCCGTGTTCCCTACCCAGAGCCTGGCCCCCATCTCGGCGCGTCGTGCCCGAGTCGTGTGAGCCTTGACATTGTTCATGGTGACCATGGAACGCCCGAGCCCCCCGAGCTCCCCGATCAAGTGCCATCACTTCTGCCAGAGCCAAGACATTGCTATATCTGGCCTGTGACCCAGTGCAACGCCTCCAGCGAAGCCCTCGACGACTGCCTGACAGGCTGAATCTATCTCAACCGGCACAACAACTACAACCAGTACTTGGTACAATGCCCAGAGCTCGGCCGCGAAAATCGTTTGCTGCCACTGATCGAGGGGAAGGGGCCCGAAAGTGGCGTACTCGAAAGCCCCCTCCTCGTCCAGCGTGGCAAACGCCCACCGCGCTCGCTTGATGCCCTCGTGGGCTCCATACAGCAGGGAGCCGTCTACAAAAACCACTCCAGTCACCCACCCGTCCCACTGGCCTTCGGTGGCGGCCTCGTGGGAAGGCGGGTGATGGGGAAGGGTGAAGCTGGGGTCCTCGCAAATGCCTCTCCCCCATAAGTGCACGTGGCCAGGCCAGGGATTCGCACCTCGCTGATGGATGTGCCGCCCCCAGACCCTATTCCGAACCTCGGCGCGCTTGGGCCAGCACAAAGTTCGATGACGCTCCGTGCCCACTGCCCCGAAACAAGCCTGACACAAACAGCTTTGACCGAGTCCCTTGGCGAACAGACGGTCCTGGGTCCAAGAGCCCCTACAGAAAATCTGACGCACGCGAGTCTGATGCTCTTGGGTCCATGACCTGGTGAGCCGGCGCCGCAAGAGGACGCGCACTGGCGCGAGAAACGGGCCACGTCCTGCGCCCAACTCTTCGCCCCACCTGGCCAGCCAGGCCTGCAGGAGCCCTCGTTGGGTGGCAACCTTTACCACATGAAAAAGGTCGTGCAACGGAAACTGCCTCAGATCGAGATCAGCATGTCCGGTGAATACCGACCATGGCGAGCGCGAGCACCAGCCGATACTCCGCAGCGTGACGATGAACGCGGCAACAAGACCTGTTTCGATTTGCCACGGGTGTTTGGCCCGTGACACCTTGATACTCCATCTTTTCCAGGCAGTGGTCAACCTCTCCTCCATGTTTGGGTCGTGGTCGATCTCTTGCCATGCTCGAGCCCACTCCAGAATGGGGCCCGCCGTCGCCAGCACTCCTGGGTCGATGTCGTCTACCAGGAGCACCATACGCGTGGAGCGCCCAGCGTGCGTGCTGGGCATCGTGGCGGCGACAGCTTGCCTGAGGTTGGTCAGGCGGGCGTCGCTGATGCCTTGGACGCGCGCCCCGTGCAGGAACGAGGGGACGGCGACGTGCCGCACGACCTTGTGGGCCGCTCCACCTGCTGCTTTGACTCGGCGGATGCGCTGGCTGCGCGCCGCCTGCTTGATGGTCCGCTTAGCGACTGCTGTCACTCGCCGCCGCCGCCGCCCAGCGGCCGCCGTGATTCCGAGGTGCTTCTTGTGCCTCACCTGCTATATGCCGTACTTGTCACAAACGCTCTTCAGGTCGGTCTCCGCATCGGTGGTGGAAGACATGGTCACAGTCTTCCCTTCGGTGCCCCTCGAGACGGCCAGGTCGAGGTTGTCCTCCAGGGCGCCCACGACCTGTGTCACGGCCTCGGCGTGGTGTTGTTAAACAAACTCCCGCGGCCCATGCGTCGCCAGCGCGAGGTCGTCGAAGAAGCGGCCAGACATCGGCCCAAGGGAAACAGGAGACAATGTCTTCCACTTCGTCCATGAGCACGAGCTTCAGGCACAGTGGAGCGAAGATGCTACCCGCGATGATGCCCCTGATCCACCGCTCGGCTTTCGTATAGGCGTGCTCTAATACTATCTTGCGCACCATTGAATAGACTCTGAGGATGACCCTGAGAATCCTGGTGTTCAACCCCCATCGTAGTCCAGCGATCCAAACGAAAGGAGGCGGAGGAGGAGGAGGTGGCGGAGGAGGAGGAGGAGGAAGAGGCGGAGGAGGGGGAGGGGGAGGGGGAGGAGGAAGAGCCTCCCCTTCCGCATCCGCCCTCTCTTCTCGCGACGCCCGAGTCTCTCGGGGGGGGCATCCTGGCCGCCCGGCGCTTCGGGGCGGATGGCCCAGCCGCGGGCACGGAGAGGCCGCCGCCCTCCCCTGGGAACCCGGGGACCCGGCAGCGCAGGCGGGCAGGGGGCAGCACGGGGCTGGCTGTGGGTCCCTGGGAGTCGCATCCGTAGGGGTCGCATCGCATCCAGTCGGACTCGATTGGACAGGACACGCGAGAGGACACAAGACCCTTCCGAGGGCCACACTGCCACAGGAATGTAGGAAGCATGGGTCGCGAGACAGGACACATGGGTCGCATCGGTGCACGTCGGCCAGAACCTTTGGACGCCCGAAATGGGTACGGAAAAAAATTGTACAATGCCCAACAACAAAGGTTGCCCCAAACCAACAGCGGCCGCTGTTGGGCAGGCGGGCTTTCGTCTCAGATGGGCACAGGCCGCGGCGGCGCAGACAGCGAGTCCTGTTCAAAATGAACAGGATCTGCTGTTGGGCATTGTGCCCATTCTTTCCGTACCCATTTCATTCGTGCCGAGAAGCAGGCAAACGTATGAAAAGGGAGGCCGCCCCGCCCACCCTCCCTGGAACCGGGGACCAGGCAACGCAGGCGGGCAGGGGGCAGCACGGGGTTGGCCGTGGGTCTCCGGGTCTCTGGGAGCCGCATGGGTAAAAGGCGTCGTTGGCGCCTGAGCGGCAGCCACAATCTTCGATCCGAGATGTGGCCCACGCACAGGCGAGAACCACGCGCTCCATGAAGGATGTCGCTGGCGCCTGGGGCCTGGGCGGCAACAACATGTTGAATCGTATATATGGCCCACGCACAAGCCGGGGCATCATTCCGAGACAATCGTTTCGCCAAAATTCTGGGTGCCACGCTCACGCGCGGGTCGGGCTCGGTGTCACCGAGGTCCGGGCTACGTCAGGTGGGTAGTCCACATCAGGGGGGCGGTTTGGGTCGCCTCGGTGCACGTCGGTCGGAAGCAGGCAACAGCATGAAGTAGAAGGGCGGACAAAGTAGATTGGGTTCAGGCCCTCCAAGAGAATCACTAAACACAACAGCACGCATATCGATCCTTGAAGTAGGAAGGCGCTAGAAGCAGATTACAGGATCTGGGAATCCAGAAGCACCTACTTTCAACGACCAGCGTGCATGGGTCGCATCGATGCGAGTTGCGTCGGTATGGGTAACAGGTGTCAGCTCATGACCTGTCCTCCCCCCCGCCTCCGCCCTCTCTCCTGACCGTTGGGTTAAGTCGGGCGTGTCTCCCTACAGGGGGATGTTCGACGAAATATAAAAAAAAAAAAAAAAAAAAAAAAAACAATACTCCAAATGGTAAAACAAACAATACCCCCAAAATAGCCTCCAGACTCCATCTTTTTACTGTTTCTGAATATTCCCCCTGTAGAGGGACGGGCCCGACTTAACCGTTGGGCCGTGGGAGTACGGAGTCGGGGATGGGACTGAAGCGGCAACGCAGACGGGCCAGCGGCAACGCAGGCGCGCCGGGGGCAGCACGTCTTTTGCCGTCGGGCGGCGCGAAGAACACCCGAAGTGACTCCCGAGCTCAGTGAGCGACACGAGTCTACTTCGAGGTAATGCTCCACCCCAGAGTCAGTCCACTCGAACGCGAAAGAATCAGACGCCGAAGTGAGAGAGCAAAGAAAGAGGAGGAAGAAAAGGCAGAAAGGGAGGCGAGACAGAACAAACGGGTTGGGGGCAACGTAGGTTGGCCGCGGGGCTGAAGGAGTAAAGAGGGCTCACAGGGGCTTTGAGCATGCCACGCCGCCTGCTGTCATGGCCGAAAAGATCATGTTCACAACTCGGCTCGCACCATCGCTCTGTGGGGGGACCGCTTCGAGCCCCACAATGCATGCTGTGCGGCAGGCTGTCGCCCACCCCAGCAAGGGTACAAGCCCACCCGACACCCAATCGGGCTCGCAGCCCCTGGAGTAGGGTCAGCTCCTTAGTACGAGAATGCAACCATCTCGGCGGTGGACAAACCTTGCTGTAGTAAACCTCTCTTTAGTGAAAACGGCCTAGGACCGAAACCGACGGACCTGGACCCGCAAAAATAACGGCCGTGACGCCCTCTCGCGAACCGAAAACGGCCAATTCGCTAATCGACGTGTCAGGGAAGGAGGTCTATCAACCTCCGACCTAAGTGCGAGAATGCAACTACCGTGCTACCATCGGGAACGCCAAGAAAGACACGAAGACGCGCTGCTGGCCACAGAGGGCCTCGGCTTTGTACACTCCCCGCCATGGATCTTCTAGGGAACGGCCCGACCATGAGACCCCCCCTCGTGATTCCCAAAGTTGTCCTTCAGCGCCGCGACTTCGCCTCCTGCTCCGACCACGAATTCCCACTCGGCTATGAACGAACTCCCCGCTATGGATCCAGGGAACGGCCCGAAAACGAGAGCCCCTCGTGAACCCCAAAGTTGTCCTTCAGCGCCGCGACTGTAAAGCTTTCCGCTCCGCCTCCTGCTCCGACCCAAGCCCACGACCTCCCTTACCTTCCATCTGTTCTGCTGCTGGCTGCCATCAGTCACGACCACCGTCGACATCTTCTCCATGCATCACAAGGTCACAACGGCGGTGGCTCACACGATGGTAGGGAGGGAGGAAAATGGAAACAGGGGGAAGGCTGGAGGATGCAATAGTCGGGGATAGATTGTACTGTGAACCACTGCTCGTGGATGTATGACCCTAGCTTGACCATGTGTTCCTCATACAGCTGGCTAGTGATGGAATGGGGAGGGAGGAAGGGAGGAGTGCGGGAGGAGGGATGTAAGAGAGAGGCAAAGGGTGGAAGGCCAGAGTGTGGAAGGACGAAAGACAAGGCCATAGCATGCCCATCATCATGTGACACCCCCTCTCTCCCTGGTCTCTCATCCTGTCCACGCAGTCTGAGAAAGAAATGCTTTCCAAAATCCGCATAGGCCTGGTAGCATCCTGCGTACACGCCATCCACCATATTGATACCATGGACGTGTGAGCCTTTGCACCAATGCAGCAATATGAGCGTCAACAGAAAGCATCCTGGAATACTAGTGGATAGACTGACGGAAGGTGGTGATATGCCGATTGCGGCGTGACGATTCAATCAACTTATCAAGCTATGACCGACCTGGCCTACGAACTGACCACCTAGCAAAATCCGATGCGACAATCGATGCAACTGACGTCCTCAGAGCGGCACGCAGAACAACCACTCACTTTTTGCTGTTTGCGCCGTGCTCGCATGAACCGGCAAGCGGTACTTCATGGTGCTGTTCCGACGCATTAGGCGACTCAGAAAAATTGAATACACGTCGGTCGGAAGAAGTAGGTAGAAACATGAAGTAGGAAGGCGGATATAGTAGATTGGGTCCAGGTCCTCCAAGATAATAACAAAACACAGCAAAAGCATGTCGATTCATGAAGTAGGAAGGCGCTTGAAGTAAATTGGGATCTGGGAATCCAAAAATACCTACTTTCAACGACCGGCGTGTCTGCTGCTCCAGGGTCGACACTCACGCTCGCCCCCTGCTATCGAACATTGCACGTGCCTCCTCCCCCCAGCTTCAACTCTGAAGAGGCACTCGAACACGTCGGGCACGAACCACGGTGGGATCCATGACGGACTGGACTCTGGAGCACATCGGCTAATCATATCGGGGGGACGTAAGACTCGGGTTCGGGGGACTCGGTTTGGCTTGACAGGGTCAACGTGAAAATGACAAGACCATGATTGAAATCTGACGCGAGCTCCCGCCGCAAACACCCAACGAACACTGTCCCGTCAAAACCCAGGACGCGTTCGTCAAAAAGCGTCGTCGGCAAACCCGAGTTCCGGCGCACTCGAGTCTCATGCGTCCCCGATGATGGCACAGTGACAGCGCCAGTGCCAGCATACACTTTTCGTCGCGGCACGGCAGAGGCGATACGCACGGGTGCTCCTGTTCTCGGGGACGCTCGGCAAACTGATTCTCCGGCAGCAAGGGGGGGGGGGGCGCGCAGAAGGAGAAGCGGCCTGAGGGAGGGCTAGGACACACTAACCTAACGGCTGAAAGCATTTCAAGAGGAGCGCGCCGGGGCGGCCAGCTGGGGCTGAAGTGGCCTGGCTGTCAGTGCCAGCACACACGATCCGGAGAGCACCGTACGGCGCCCCTGTCCGAGCAGACATGCGCCAGGAGAGGGCGACATTCAGAAGCCGAGCTAAAGCCATGAATGGCAAGGCCTCGGCTTGCGCCCAGACAGCCCCGCAGGCCGTCTTGGTCGGAGAGGGGGGCCCAGTATTTCCGAATGTTCTGTTCGGGCTGCAGAGACGAGGTACAGTCGGGGCGCTGACCGAAGGAACGAGGCCCCTTTTTTCCATAAGTTCAGCTTCGATGTCCCATCGGAAACATGAGGGAAACCTGAGGCAAGCTGTGAAACACTAAAGGAACACGGAGCCCCTCCCCAACGAAAAGGATTCCTTTGTCAGCGCCCCGACTGTACGATGTAGATGCCACGGAAGCCTTGAAACGTGCCCCGAGCCGCTCCGAGCAGGGCGCCGCCCTCGTCCTCCGTGGGAAGGGGGGGGCGGAGCACTGCAGGCTAGTAAGGCTTCGCCGAGATCGGGATCATCTTCCCTCGTTGGAAGCACGCCGCCGATATTGGTGTTGGTGTCAACCTCTAGGCCTCCGACCCCACGGTTGTGTCGAGACAGCCCTGGACTACTCGGGGGGGAGGGGCTGAGGCCAGCTGGAACTACCTGGGGGGCCTGTTGACGCCAGCCGGACTACCTGGGGGCTGCCTGCGCGCAGCCCGGAGCCCTAGCAAACATGCAGGGCGAGAGCAAAACGTGATTTCTTAGTTTTGAGCACCGCTTGCGTTAAAAACAATGAGAAAACGAAAAAACCGGCGCCATCTCCCCAACAAACGTTCCGCTCCAAACCGTCACGCTGGCGGCAACAAAACGGTGAAACCAAAACGGCATGCAAACATAGCAACACAACCTTTTTGCTCGCGCCCGGCAAGCATGAGTGGGACAAGAAGCCAAGGAAGCAGGGGCAGCAGAGATGCGATGGAGGCGGACGGATGAGAGCTCCGCCAGGAAGAGACGCACAGGTTCGCACGGCCCGGACCAAGACATCCTCGCCACCACCCCACCCCCCCTCGCAAAGTCGGAGCGCACACGAAAGTGACGGTGAGGGCATAAGATAATGAACCATTGGATAAGGAATTCAGGATCTGGAAGCCAGTGGAACTCCGACTGAAGGTTGGCCATGGATATCGCCGCCAACCTTGCAGGCTCTGAAGCCTTCTGGGCACACTGCTTCACGAACGCCTCCTGTGAACATGGGACATCCAAGAGGTCTCGCGCGGCAACTTAAAACCCGATTAACGTCGGATCCGCGCCGGACTCACGTTGGATGTGCGTCGGACTCGCGTCGAAACACCGCCGCACGGGCGTCGTCCCATCACTGGCGGGGCGGACGTGTGGACTAGGAAAAGTACAACTGCTGCGCGCCGCCCGGGGCCTCCTGATGAGTTTCCGCACAGCGCGGGGGCACCCCTGGGGAATGGAATGCAAGACTTATCCGTGAGGCTACAAGGCTTCACCAAAAACACACACACACAAAAAAAAATGGGCCCCGAACCCTTTGGGAGGGGACCTGAGCTAGGAGGGCCGACAACGTTAGGGATAATGGCGTCCTGTCTGCAGATGTATCAGGCCAAACCGTCCAGATCGATGATCCTTGATGCAAAGGCGGGGACCTCAGTGAGGCCACGCCTTCATCGTGTTATTGGGGTTAGGGGTTCTTCTGTGCTCGATGACACAGCTGTATCATCGAGCACAAACGCGCTCGCAGCCCCGGTCCCCAGACGCCCCCAACAGAAATCGGCGCGTGTTGCTGCAGCCAAACAACCAGCCATTTTCACGCGTCAGTGCACCTTGACGCCCGGATGCTAAACCAGCGCGCGCGCGGCAAGCTGATCGGGAACAGCGGCGAGCGCCCAATCCCGCGGGCGGCCCTTTTCACCCTGGCTGACCCCGGGTAAGGGTGAAGCAGTGGCGAAGCGTCCTGGCTCGCCTAAAGCCCGACCAAACAGTGTTCTAAGAACCATGTGGTTTCCACGAAATGGTGCGCTCAGGACGACTGATACAGCGCGCAACATCGGGACACGGCCCGTCCCAGGCACCCCGGAGCCAAACCCTGCCGACGCCACGCACCTCGACTCCCGCCGCCGTGCGCCGACCTTTCCCCGGCGGCGCCGCCGCCGCTTGCCGCCTTCCGCCGGCCCCCCGACCGCACCCCGCCGGTGGGCGATGGTGCGCGCCGAGGGCGAGGCCTCCAGAACGCCCCACAAGGAAATGACTATGGGAGGACATCGCGGCACCCCTGACGTCCAAGAGATCGGCCTGAATGCCCGAGGGGATACAAAGACGCCAGTGCAGTGGAGGCCAGTCCACAAGAAACCCGCCACAAAAAGCCCAATCCCGAGACCCTAGGACGTCCATGTGCTTTGGGTGTGGGAGCGTCACGCCTTCCATCGCAAAACCATCGAAACCCAAGAAGCCCAGGGCATCCTGGAGGCAAGCAGGGTGTTTCTTGGCATGGGCCCTCACTGAACTGCTGCTCCACGGCCCTCTCCTGGGGTGCGTCCTGACCACGATTTCGAGACCAACCCAGCCGTGGCGACGAGGAAGGGCAGCGGTATCGGTACCTGTTCCTCCTCTGAATGCCATTGCTGCAGCCCCAACCGCGCCGGGGGGCTTCGCACCCGCGAGGGGAAGCCCCCTTCGCGCGAGGCGGAAGCTCGCGAGCGCGCCGCCTGCGCTGTGCAGCGGCACTCGCCCCCGACCCTTGCTGTACTCCATGTCGACTATGCCGTCGAAGGTGCGGCGACCCTCCTGACCCCGATCCATTTCGCAGCAGGGCGGGGCTTCCTCTCCGGAGCTGGAAGTTTGGGAACCGACCCCTGGGAGGTCTTCGTAAAAACGAATGAGGGCAGCTGGGCCAAACAATAAATCCACTGAGCCAGATAAGCCAGAAAACTTAACAGGGCATGGAAACGGATTAAAACACCTTGCACGAATTTGAACATAATGAAATGGGAGTATACCGGATCAATCTGGTTTTCGACCACGGATGCGCCAGCGCCGATGCTGAATCTAACCTGCCAGGAAATGCAACCGAATTGGAACATCTACTGCCGACACCCTGGCGTTAACTTCCTCTGGGGCTTCCGCCTCAGCATGCCTGGTATCAGCCTGTCTCCCTTCCTCTCGACAAGTCGCTGTGTTTGCCTTTCAGAACCAACCATCTCCCTTCGACCACACGCAAGAGTGAGCCTGGGTACGAGTGACCATGGTGCGCGGCTTTCTGGGGGCTGCGGGGGGGGGGGGGGGGGGGGGGGGGCAGACACCAGCGCGCAGGACGCCACTGCCGCCCTGCATTCGGCTGTCGGGGGACACCATTGGACCCGCACCAAAGGTCACTCCGGCGAAACGTTACTCTTACGTCTACAGTGCGGGCGCGGCCGCAAGAAACCCTCGCAAGAAACCCAACCCTGAGAACCCGTCCGCGAGGTGCACCTGAGGGGAAACCTGGAGCACCCTGAACGCAGCAGCTCCTTCAACGGGTGCGGGAACTCACCGCGCAGCGCGAGGAGCGAGGAAACCTAGGATACCCTGACGAAAAGCACATGGTTCTTGATGCGCGCCCCCACTGTACTCGATCCCTCGCTTGCGAGGGCCCACGAGGCTTCCCGGACGCCTGCTGCCAGCAAAGCTCGAGGAAGAGGGAAGAACCTTACCCTCTCGCGGGCCGCAGGGCTCACGACGGGCCGCGGGGCACGCGACGGGCCGCGGGGCGCGGGGCCTAGACCTGAAGATTGAAGCGTGACGGTGTGACACCCATCGTGGGCTACGGGGCACAGAGCCGAGTACTGGCGACCCCTCAAATGACTTCAGACGGCCCTGAACTTGGACTTCGCACGATTCTGCCTCGCGTGCGGTGTGGATGAGGCAGAACGGCACTCTAGTACACGTGAGCAGCCCCCTTTGGGGAGGGGGGGAAGGAGGAGGACCGTTCCGAAGAGCCCACAATAGCGCGCCAGGGAGCATGCACACGTCGCCAGGGAGGCTTGACGCACAACACCCTCCTCCTCCTCCTCCTCCCCTCCTCCTCCGCCTTGTCCTTCACATCCTCCACGTCCCCCTCCACCTCCCCCTCCCTCTCCCCCTCGTCATCTTTCCCCTCCACCTTCCTCATCTTCATCTCCCGTCCTTCATCTCCTCCTCCTCCTCCATCTTTCCCCCGTCCTTCATCTCCCGCTCGTCATCTTGTCCTTCACATCCTCCACCTCCCTCTCGTGATCTCCTCTCCCCATCCCCCTGCCGGTCCAGCAACTAGTCCAATCCATTCTCCCTCCCTCCATCCCCCTACATCCATTCTCCCTCCCTCAATCCCCCTACTCCGTCGCAGCCCGCAACCGCTGACTGCCGCAAACGCCTCGGAACCCATGCGCCGCTTCTGGACCATCCGACGGGAACAACGTCAACTCTTCCCCCCCAGGAAGAAGCCAGGACGAGGATAAAATCAAGTGAGGGTTCATCGGAAATCTCTGAGACCCGGCGGTTCTCGAGGATGTCTCGGACGCCGCGGCCTTCTCAGATCAATCCGGAGCGCTCTGAAACGCTCTGAGAGCGTTCCGGAACGCTCTGGAACTGATCATCCTCGTCCTAGCCATGTCCGACCCCCTCCTCCTCCTCGTCCTTCTCGTCCTCATTCCCATACAAGTCCCCCACCTCCTTGCCCATCGTCCTCGGCCTTTTCTTTTCCTTTTTTTTTACCCCCGCTCCATCTGGAAGGCGGACCGCATGTCTTCCATGTGCCTGCGACACGCGCGGGCATCAAAGGGGGAGCGACAGAGCGTTCGCAGACACATCAGCAGGCGCCCAAGCATCACTTTGCAACGTCACTGGTCAAGCATGTGCAGCGTTCTCGCCAAGAGAGCCACACGCCCTGCAAGACATGTACACCATTCTATAGGATGGTACCAGAGAAAAACCCAATCAGAATTTGGGGGGGGGGCTATGGGGCTTTAGGGCTTTGGGGCTATGGGGCTATAGGGCGATGTGGCCATAGGGATATAGGGCTAGAAGCCTTTAGGACTATGGGGCTATAGGGCTACAGGGCTATAGGGCTATAGGGCTAAGGGCTATAAGGCTATTCGGGCTATAGGGCTATATACGGCTATAGGGCTTTAGGGCTATAGGGCTATAGGGCTATAGGGCTATAAGGCTATAGGGCTATAGGGCTATAGGGCTATGGGGCTATGGGGCTATGGGGCTATTGGGCTATTGGGCTATTGGGCTATAGGGCTATCGGAGGTGAGGGGGTGAGATCGAAGTGGAACGGCGAGCCCCCCACCGGGAAATCGGTTTCGGTTTCGTGTTCGTGCGTGCCGTGCGTGCGAGGCGACGCTGCGTGGGCGGGCGAGAGAAAGTCTCCTGTGGCTGAGGCGCGGCCGGACCAAATGTTTCTCTTCCGGGGCGCGGGGCCCCGCGGCGTCCCGCCGGTGTCCCGCGGTGTCCTCCTGTGGCTGAGGCGCGGCCGGACCAAATGTTTCTCATCCGGGGCGCGGGGTCCCGCGGTGTCCCGCCGGTGTCCCTCGGTGTCCCGCGGTGTCCCGCGGTGTCCCACGGTGTCCCGCGGTGTCCCGCCGGTGTCCCGCGGTGTCCCGCGAAGATGATGATGATGAGATGATGATGATGATGATGATGATGGTGGTGATGATGATGATGATGATGAGATGATGATGATGATGATGATGATGATGATGATGATGATGATGGTGTCCCGATGGAGATGATGATGATGTTGATGATGGTGTCGATGATGATGATAGTGTCCCGATGATGAGGATGATGATGCTGATGATGATTATGTTGATGATGATGACGATGATGGTGTCCCGATGATGATGATGATGATGATGATTCCGATGATGTTGGTGATGGTGATGTTGATGGAAATGTGGTCCTGGCGATAATGATGTTGATGATGATTATGGTGTCCCGATGATGATGTTGATGATGATGATAGTGATGATGATGATGGTGATGATGATGGTGTCCCGATGATGATAATAATGAGAATGACGATGTTGATGATGATGTTGCTCATGATGATGATGATGATGATGATGGTGCCCCAATGTTGATGATGATGTTCTTGATGATGATGATGATGATATGATGATCATGATGATGATGATGGTGTCCCGGGGATGATGACGATGTTGATGAGAATGTTGATGATGAGAACAATGGTGATCATGATGGTGTCCCGATTACGATGATGATTCGGATAATGCTGCTGATGATGACGATGACTGTGTCCCGATGATGATGATGTTGATGATGAGATGATGATGGTGATGGTGATGATGATGATGCTGATGATGATGATGATGTTGTCCCGAGGATGATGCTGACGTTGATGATGATGTTTATGATGATGATGATGACGATGTTGGTGATGATGTTGATGTTGATGATGTTGATGATGATGATAATGACGTTGATTGTGAGAGCGATTGTGATATCCATAGTGAGATCGATATTGAGACCGAATGTGAGATCGATTGTGTGATCGATTGTGAGATCGATTGGGAGATCAATTGTGAGATCGATCGAATGAGATAGATCGAGTGAGATCGATTGTGAGATCGATCGAATGAGATCGATCGAGCGAGACCGATAGTGAGATCGATACTGAGATCGATAGTGAGACCGATCGAGTGAGACGTTGGTTCCCCCCCCCGAACCTCCTTATCACCCGAAGGGTGGTCGTATAGGTACGGCTATAGGGCTATAGGGTTACAGTGCTATACGGATATATGGCGATTGGGCTATTGGGCTATAGGGATATAGGGCTATTGGGCTAGGCACCCCCGGGCACTTCTGGGCCCCCCGGGCACCCAGGCACCCCTGGGCACCCGGGCACACCCGGGCACCCGGGCACCCGGCCCCGGCCACCGAAATCGGCCACACACCTGGGCACCCGGGCACCCCCGGGAACCCCCGGGCACCTGGGCACCCGGCCCCGGTGCACCGAAATCGGCCGCTCACTTCACCTCAGCTTTATATCCGCTAGGACCCCTACAGAGGCAAGCTCTGATTGGGGAACTAGTATACAATACAGAGATACATGAACATAATGATACCAGAGAAAAACCCAATCAGAATTTGGGGGGGCTATGGGGCTTTAGGGCTTTAGGGCTATGGGGCTATAGGGCTATAGGGCGATGTGGCCATAGGGATATAGGGCTAGAAGCCTTTAGGGCTATCGGGCTATAGGGCAACAGGGCTATAGAGCTATAGGGCTAAGGGCTATAAGGATATTCGGGGTATTCGGGCTATATTCGGCTATAGGGCTTTAGGACCATAGGGCTATAGGGCTATAGGGCTATAGGGCTATGGGGCTATAGGGCTATGGGGCTATGGGGCTATGGGGCTATGGGGCTATTGGGCTATAGGGCTATTGGAGGTGAGGGGGTGAGATCGAAGTGGAACGGCGAGCCCCCCACCTGGAAATCGGTTTCGGTTTCGTGTTCGTGCGTGCCGTGCGTGCGAGGCGAAGCTGCGTGGGCGGGCGAGAAAAAGTCTCCTGTTGCTGAGGCGCGGCCGGACCAAATTTCTCTTCCGGGGCGCGGGGCCCCGCGGCGTCCCGCCGGTGTCCCGCGGTGTCCTCCTGTGGCTGAGGCGCGGCCGGACCAACTGTTACTCATCCGGGGCGCGGGGCCCCGCGGTGTCCCGCCGGTGTCACGCGGTGTCCCGCGGTGTCCCGCGGTGTCCCGCGGTGACCCGCCGGTGTCCCGCCGGTGTCCCGCGAGGATGATGATGATGAGATGATGATGATGATGATGATGATGATGATGATGAGATGATGATGATGATGGTGTCTCGATGAAGATGATGATGATGTTGATGATGGTGCGATGATGATGATAGTGTCCCGATGATGAGGATGATGATAATGAGATGATGATGATGATGATGATGATGGTGTCTCGATGAATATGATGATGATGGTGTTGATGATGGTGCGATGATGATGATAGTGTCCCGATGATGAGGATGATGATGCTCATGATGATTATGTTGATGATGATGACGATGATGGTGTCCCGATTATGATGATGATGATGATGATTCCGATGATGTTGGTGATGATGATGTTGATGGAAATGGTGTCCTGGCGATAATGATGTTGATGATGATGTTGATGATTATGGTGTCCCGATGATGATGCTGATGATGATTATGATGATGGTGATGATGATGATGATGGTGATGCTGATGGTGTCCCGATGATGATAATACTTATAATGACGATGCTGATGATGATGTTGCTCATGATGATGATGGTACCCCACTGATGATGATGTTGTTGATGATGTCGATGATGATGATGCGATGATCATGATGATGGTGTCCCAGGGATGACGACGATGTTGATGATAATGTTGATGATGAGAACGATGGTGAGTATGATGGTGTCCCGATTATGATGATGATTATGATGATGCTGCTGATGATGATGACGATGACTGTGCCCCGATGATGATGATGCTGATGATGTTGATGACGAAGTGATGATGGTGACGATGATGATGTTGTCCCGCTGATGATGATGACGTTTATGATGATGTTTATGATGATGATGATGATGATGATGATGATGATAACGGTGCCCTCATGATGATGACGATGTTGGTGATGATATTGATGTTGATGATGTTGATGATGATGATGATGGCGTTGATTGTAAGAGCGTTTGTGATATCCATAGTGAGATCGATATTGAGACCGAATGTGAAATCGATTGTGTGATCGATTGTGAGATCGATTGGGAGATCAATTGTGAGATCGATCGAATGAGATAGATCGAGTGAGATCGATTGTGAGATCGTTCGAGTGAGATCGATCGAGCGAGACCGATCGTGAGATCGATACTGAGATCGATAGTGAGACCGATCGAGTGAGACGTTGGTTCCCCCCCCCCGAACCTCCTTATCACCCGAAGGGTGGTCGTATAGGTACGGCTATAAGGCTATAGGTTTATAGTGCTATAGGAATATATGGCGGTTGGGCTATTGGGCTATAGGGATATAGGGCTATTGGGCTAGGCACCCCCGGGCACTTCTGGGCACCCCGGGCACCCTTGGGCACCCGGGCGCCCCCGGGCACCCCCGGGCACCCGGGCACCCGGCCCCGGCCACCGAAATCGGCCACACACCTGGGCACCCGGGCACCCCCGGGAACCCCCGGGCACCTGGGCACCCGGCCCCGGCCACCGAAATCGGCCGCTCACCTCACCTCAGCTTTATATCCGCTAGGACCCCTACACAGGCAAGCTCTGATTGGGGGAAAACAATAAACATACATACGCAAATTAACTACAAATCTAGCTCTACACCAATGAGCAACTCTCTGAAGGGGGGGGAGCTCAAATGCGATTGTTGGTGTCGCCGTGGATCTTCGAACGGCCGTCTCGCGCACGATATCCCCAACAATCTGCTAACGCAGACGCGCCCCGCGCGCCGACCGCGAAGGACGGTCCCCAAACCCCATGATGCATTACTATGCTTGCTGGGTGTGTTCAAACTCGCAAGGATCTTACACACACACTTGCACACATAGTGCACCCAAAGCCAAGAGTTGCTAGAACAAAAACGCGATACTATTCACCGGCATGTTTAACGAATTCCGAACCAGTGTGCCCAACATCGTCGGACTCTGCGGATCGATGTTCACATGGGTTCGAACTAGGTGTTTGCAACTGTATTAGACGTGGTTGGTTAACTCATTTGGTTGCACATGT